GTGAGGGGTGAAAACCACTTTTGATGAAAGAGCAATTACTTACTGTGTGTACTTGTGCAATTATTTAAACCTTCTTTGAGCTTTAGATCTTTCATTAGTAAAAAGGAAAGGATTATACCTGTATCTAAGATATTTGCTATAGGGATTTAAGAAGAAATGAAAATCACTTGATAGGGTATCTGGCACTACTTGGGACCAGAAATGAGTTGAAGCCCTTTCAGTGAATCCCTAGGGGAATATTACACACAACGACTGATATAATCACTCTTGAAAGGGGCACTTCCAACATTTAATCAATAATCTTTTTCTTATATCTTCAGTTGCAGAACTCGTTGCCTAGGATCCACAATTGAAAAGCATCTGCTTCCAAAGGAGACTGAAACATAAACAGAAAAACCTAGCACCATGTGCAGGCTGCAGGAATGGAATGAGTGATGGTGTGAAGGGAAGGCTGAGTCTTGAGTGAATGATGGAGGGCTTCTCTGAGGAGGCTATATGCTTCATGGGAGAGGTGTCAGCTGGCCAATAGAAGGGAAAGTGTGGGAGGACCCAAAGTGTGAGGAAGCACATTTTCTATAATGAGGGAGCTTTTAGATATTGGGGCTTCCCTAGTGGCTCCCTGGTGAAGAATCTGCCTGCCAATGCAAGAGACTCAGGGAAGATCCCTGTGCGGGGCAGGGGGAGAGGGGGAGATCCCCTGGAGAAGAAAGTGGCAACCCACTCCAGTATTCTTGCCTGGGAAATCCCACGAACAGAGGAGCCTGGAGGGCTACAGTCCATGGGGTCACAAAAAGTTGGACCTAACTTAGTGACTAAACAACAACAACGTTTTAGATATTGCTGGAATAGTTTTGTTTTGTTTTTTTAAAGCTTTAACAGAAGAGAAGGGATGAGTGACTGTGACGGCGGTGGGTTTCCAATTTTATCTTGCCACACATGGGGAGTCACTGAAGAATCTGTGGGGCAGGGAGATAATAGAGAGGGGTAAATGAAACGAACTGAGAGAATGGCAGCCAGTGATGGCTAGCTGGCTGAAGCTCACACCCAGCCCCATCATTGATTTAATCATTCAAGAAGTAGTTACTGAGGACCTGCCTGCCATGCACCAGGCTGAATTCCAGGAGCTGGAAATCAGGCATTGAACAGGATTAGCAAGGTCTCTGTTCTCCTCGAGGAGACTGACAATAGATAAACAAGTAAACAAGGAAGGAAGTATCAGATAAGTGCCTCTTGGAAAATTAAACAAGCTGATAAAAGTGTCCCTGAGCGGCTGCTCCTCACCCTCTTCCCCTCCTTCCGAATACCCGCCAAGCCTCCTCCTGAGTTTTCTAAGGAGATTTTTGCTCCTAGGAAAATCTCTAAGGTAAATCATTAACCTAGCGCTCTCGGTGTTTTCAATAAGACATCTTCCCCAGGGCCCGGTCAGCTTGTTATCCTTGCTTCGGGACCACCGACTCTACCAGAAGCTTGGAGTCTAAAAGTTAGATGAGGACGGTCTTGACAACCTTGCGAAGGGGCCTGATCGTGGTTCCCTCGGCAACGTATACCCCGCTCCCCAGCCGCCCCCTTCCCGCTCCAGGCTCAGCCCCTTCTCCCCCCGCCCCCTTTATATAGATATCCCCTCTAAAAGAAAGACATTTGATAATACGGTTGAAATTGTTCATTCCTCTCCTCTGAAAAATGCAGACTTTTAAAACTCGTCCGCTTCTGCTGGTTAGAGCTGTCCTCTCCTCCTCTTCCCAACCCCTCCCTCCAACCGCCCCCCAGCGGGGACTCCCGGAGGCTGCGCGTTCTGGGCACCGGTCATGGAGGCTGGCTCAGCACCACCGGGCTCACCCTCCTGTAAATCAGAGTTCCCAGAAGAATGCAGGACAAGAATCAAAACGCGAACACTGGAATAAACGCAGCTGAAGAAACGAGAGAATAAAAAGGCAGATTCCCCAGTATGTCCCGTTGTCTTCTCCCTTTTGACACATTTATTCACCACGAGGATTTAAAAAAAAAATTTTTTTTAACAGTATGAAAACTTTCAGAGACACAGTAAAGTTTTAGGTAAACCAGGCAAACGTCCCAAGAGGGCCTTCTGATTTTTCCCAGCTTTTCTGAACTGCCTGATAGTCATAGTTAGCCTTCTGTGGTCCATAGTAGTCAGGGATGATTAAGTTAGGACCCCTGCTTGGAGAGGTTTCTATTCTAGTTAGAGACAGAAGACTAATAAAACTTTTCCTTCCCCCCTGGCCACCCCCCCCCTCCGCCCCAGTTTGCACCTTACAAGGTATATTCACATTCTTGATACTGTTAAAATCATAAACTCAAAGCTGAAGGGAAATTTAGAGATTAAGAGAGGTTAAGCAGGACAATTACTTGGCATATACTGGGCCACTTCCTAACCATCTGCCCATGGTAGACATTGCTAATCGATCACTCATTCATGATCTAACGCTCACTTATTGGATACCCTCCATGTTCCACTCCTAGGAGTACAGCAGGAAACCAGACGGACTTGTTTGCTACCCTTATGGATCTTCAAGGGGAAGACAGACATTAAATAAATACACGCCTGAAGAGTGTTTTAAAAGGAGGATTATGGGGGCAGACAAGGGCATCGCACACCTGGAGGGAACCAGGAGTAGGGTCAGGAAAGGCCCCCTTGAGGAAGTGATGTTTAAGCTGAGATCTAGATGACAAGGAAACTTAGTCTTCGTGAGGGTGAAAAAGGAAACATTACATGCTAGATGAAAGACCAGCGTGAGTTCAGGGCATGTTTCAGGGTTAAATGAGGGGGCATGAATGATAAATGGGGTTAGGTGACCAGAGGGAAATAGAGCTTGATCCAACCAGTCCTTGAATAAGAATCGGTTGATAGGAGGAGAGGGTTGGGACAGCCTGAGCTGAGGTCACATTTATTGTTTATTCTCCCCCTTCTTAGGAATTATTTTCTCACCTGCTGCCATTTTTTAAAAAGCTATAATTTTAAAACATTTTTAATGTAAAAACTTTTAATTTCGTTATTGGTTTAGCTGCTTTTATTCAAGCATTATTTGCAGCATTGGAAAGCTATAAATTATTGACTACGAACTATGGGGGTGGCAATTCTCATGACTTCTCATATATTTCTTGTGAGACAAGTATTATCTTCCTAGTTTTACAGATGGGAGAAAAAAAAAAAGGGCTTGGGAGGACTAGAGATACTTGCTAAAGTTGGTCATCAAGTAGGCAGCTGAGCTAGGATTTGAGCAGCTGCAATTTCCACAACTCCGTCACTGTCATAAAACCTCCAAATGGTTTGCTCTAAAGCAGTCAAGTAAAACTTGGGAAGCAAGCAAAGAGCGTTGACTGAGGAGTTGGAAATACTAGGGGGATATGGGGTGGGGGAGGAGGGGGAAAGTGTCCGTAGAGATGCTGCAGGTGTACACCTAGGCAGAGGAGCGCGCGGCAGATGCAGAGTGGCGGCGGGTGGTGCGGGGGATGGCGAGGCGTGAGAGGTGATTCAGGGCATCCCTCGACTGCTCCAGGACTGACTACGGGGAGGTGCCCCGCTCTAACCTCTACCCGGCCTGGCCCGGTTAATCATTTCCTGACCCTCCTTCCTCCTCTCTCCCAGCCCGCAGGATTGCCACATCAACCTCCCTCCTCCCCGCCTCCTGGCCTGTTGCTCCTTCGCCGGGTTTTACAAGGAGCCCCAACTTTGAGGCAGTGTTTGTAACAGCCCCGGACGCCCTCAAGGCTGTTCCCCGGAGAGGTCGCAGGCTCGCTTGGGTGTAGCGCTTGCCCTAGCGGCCTCCTGAGGCTTGCCCTTTGCTCTTTTTTGGAATGACAGGTCAGAGAGGCGGGGATCCAATCCCGCCGCGGATTAACTAATTAAAGGCTCGGTTTCCCCTGCGGTAAAAAGGGAGGATGGTAACAGCAGCTGGCGGGGTGGTGCGCGGTTGAAATGAGGTATTGTGTGTTAAGTGCCTGGCTAGGAGACAGCAGTGGGTGTTTAACCAACGTTAGATCCCTTCCGTTTTATCACCTGATCACCGGGACCGCCCGCGCAGCAAACCTAGGTTACAGCTATCTCGCTTAAACTTAAACTGGACGTTGAGCTCTGAATGTCCGATCATATGCTCGAGGTAATGCCAACGGTGATTCATAGTGACAGGGTTTGAACCCAGGTTCACGATCGCCCCCGCCATCTCGCACCTAAGTGGCTGGCTAAGGCTACATGTCCAGAGCCTAGTCCAGAACTAGAACCCGGTCAGTATGGTACCTGCTGCAGGGAGCAGACCACTAAACCAGTACTGCTCTGGGACCCATGCAGCCCGCTGGGCCACCGGGGGCCAGGCCTTTAACCTCTCTGAGTCTGAGCCACAGTGTGTAAAATGGGGGCTCTCTGTCTGCCCGTGCGGTTTTTATTCTTCACACTTTCTTACATGACCAGATTTTCTACCCCGGTGTAGTCAGACCATCTCGTTACGCAGGATCAGTGTTTTCTGACTGCGAGCGCTCGCCCAGGCCGGGGTAAAAGCAGCGGACCGGCCCGGCGAGCCCCAGCTTGGCGCCCCACCCTTCTCGGGGCCGGGGAAAGCCGCGACTGCTCGGGCCAGCGGAGTTGGGAAAGTCACTTCCGAGCGCAGTCTGACTCTGGGCCATCCGCCTGCTAGCGCGCGGACCCCACCCAGCTGGAGAAGGCGGGGGCGGGGCCGGGCCTGGAGGCGGGGCCTGCCCAGGGGCGGGGCGGGGCTGGCCTGGGAAGACGGAAGCTCCCAACCTAGGGGTTGCTGCAGAACCCGGATCCCGGAGTACCACGTTTTCCGGAGCCGGACATCTGGAGACGGCGGGCGAGAAAACCCGGCGCCCGGAAGCTTTTGCTTTCTTTGACGCAAGGGCTCGGGACGCAGCCGCCGTCGGCCGAGCGCCCGGCGAGGAGCGACCCCAGACGGAGTCTTCGGAGTTCCTCCGCCCCCGCCTCGCCGGGTCCCGGAGCCTCAGTCCTCCTCGCAGCTCTCCTGGTGGCCATGGAGTGTCCGCACCTGAGCTCCAGCGTCTGCATCGCTCCGGACTCAGCCAAGTTCCCCAACGGCTCCCCGTCGTCCTGGTGCTGCAGCGGTGAGTGCGGCCCCAGGCGGCCCTGCAGCGCACCCGAGGCCCCGGCTCCGCCGGGCCTGCCGTCTAGGGGCCGCGGGCGGCGGACGCGCGGACTCGGGAAGCGGTGCGGACGAGCCGGGCCCGGTAGCTGGGGAGGGTACGCGGCGAGGCGTGAGGAGCGGCGGCGGCGGCTCCTTTGTTTCCCGTGGCCCGACGGTCCGTCCGGCGAAGGAGAGGCCCACGAGGGATGCGAGCCCGCGGGGGCCACGAGCGCGTGGGGACGGCGGCGACCCGGGACCCTGGCCTGCGGCTCGCGCCCCCGCGCCGCCCGGCAATGCCCGGGGGCTGTGCTGGCCCGTGTCGCCGGGTCGGGAGGCTGTGGGAGTGGGTGTCCGGCCCCCACAAGGCGGCCGCATGTGTGGCGGGGCCCGAGTTGTGTCCGCTCCTTGACCGGACGGGAAAAGCGCCGCTCTCGGGGGCAGCTTTGTCTGAACTGCTGGGCGCGCTGGGGCCCTTCGCTACCTGTTCCGGCGCCGCTTCCTTTCGCTTGCCCCTATGCTCCAGCGACACGATCCACGCCCGGTGGACGGGAGCCCCGACCCTGAGAGGTGCTCAGAACTCGGGAGGCCGAGGTCAGAGGCTTTCATCAGCCCGGGAGGGGGAAGTTTGAAAACAGGCTGCGGGCTAAAAAGCTCAGAAGGCTGATAGAGCAGCTGCTTTGGAGGGGCGGCTCGTGTTGGCTTTCAGGTCTTCTTGGTGGGTTGAAACTGCTTTGGGATTTCCGAGTCCATGTGCTGGAGGACAGTTATTAGGTTTATGTAATGCTTTTGCATTGCTTAAGCATCTTAACTCCTCTGCCGGGCCCCTTGGAAGCCCCAGTGCCCTCTTATTGTCTGCTCTAGCGACTTAGGATCGCACCGGCCACACTGCTTTGATTACTTCCTGGTAGGGCCCTGGTGCAGCCGATAGAGTCTTTGTTTATTAGCTTTGAGATAATCGGTGGCAGCTTGGGTTGGAGTGTAGAATGTAAATTGTGCATTTCAGAAATCTTAAGTTCATTTGAAGAAATAAAGAGAAGAAAAGTGCAGTGGTACGGTTTAGTTCTGTGACGTTTCTCATTATGGGCCGGAGCTAGGAAGATAGTTTAGAGAATGCCTTAACACTTTTGACAGGTTACTTCTTAAATGGTGATTATTATGTCCTTGGAGAAAAACACAGGCAACAGCCACAAAGAAAAATGTACCCTGGGATAAGGAGTCGAGATAACGGTGGCTTCCTTGAGCTCTGAGAGGTTTGATGCTTTGATTGCCTTTGGAAAGTCAGATTGTCTTCTTCTGCACGAAGACCATAAAGATTATAACAGGTTAATTGATTTTGCAGTGCAGTGCTGCAGTTCTTTTATGAGGGTGCAGAAAACTTACCTAGGAATGTTTCTTCCACAGTGAATGTTGAGTATGAAACAACAAATAAGGTGTGTCAAGTTGCTTTACAAATTAGTTGATGTTGCATTAGCTATAATTGTAGCTGTGGTGCTGCGATTGTGGTAAGTTGTTTCTTTTTTTATTTTTTTCAAGAGATTTGGGGGAAGAAATGACCACAGTAAACACTAGGAAAAGCATACCTCATGAGGAATGATGAAATTCCTTTCTCTGTGGTAAAGTACAGGGATACAAAGCAGACAGCTCCCTTATTTATGGCTTTTTCTAGGTAAACTCACATCAAATTTTAAAATGGCCTCACTGGGCACATGCGTCTAGAAAAAGGAAAAGAGTTTATGCAAGTGACAGATATCCTGTTATGAGTCAGCCTTGCCTTTGTCAGTCAGGGCGTCCACTTGACTGTGGGAAAGAGGTGCGGAAGATCGAACATCTCTTGAGGAACTTCAGTTAAAATGGAACATAACTTAGAGGCTTGTGCTGATACAAAGAACAAACTAGTATGGCTAGCTCTAAGGGAGGGGTTATGTCTGTCCAAGGGCCAGGATGGCATCTTTGCATCTTGCAGCAAAGTTTGTATCTGACATTGCTTTGGGAGGGTGATTTTAGTCCTGTGCTTTCATTTGTAGAACCAATAAAGCTAGTTTCGCAACTTTATGTGGATTTTTTCCTTCTGCTCAAGTTCTGTGAATTGAACCCATTTCACACGGGCCTCCCACTAACCTGTTGGCATCCATTCATTGATATAATCTCACATTTTTATATTGAGCTTGATCTTGTTCTTGCCTGCCTGTTGTTTCAGTGATTAAACGATTATTAACTATGAGTCTTTGGCTAATTCAACATCTTGGAGGGTTATCTTTTCTGGTATTTATTCTCCAACACTCTCGAATTTCTTCTTTCCTTTCATTCTTTCCTTTTCTTTTTGGTAGGGCACCAAAAGAGTAGCCAGGGTGTGGAATAATGCGGTGACCGAGTGTTGAGTCTGATTACGTTCTTTTTAGGGAGGGGAAAATCCCTGTCTTGGCACTGGGACAATAAAAGTAATGCCCTTGCCCTGTTTTCTTTGGGAGCTTGCAGTTACATCACAGTGAAACAGCCTTAAGGCAGCCAAGCATATTGCAAAAGACCAACATCCTAGGCTTTTCTGGGTAGCAACACATCCTTGGAAAGTAGTTCTGTTTCCTTTGAGCATAAGTCTTATGGTATCATTTGTAAAAAAAAATGGGTAATACTTCACATTTACTTCACAGGTGGTGGTTAGGATGCACAAGGTAATTTTTGTGCAAACTTTGAGAGATTCCAAATACTATTCAAGTAATAGGTGGTTTTATAGGTCAGAACATCTTTATAAAAAGGACTCTGAATACTTAAGTATCTAAAGCCCCTTAAATAGGGACTAGGACAGACTGGCTTTATGCTGAATTATGCTTTGCAAGGAGATCTATTACTCAACAAGATTAGGGGGTGTAAGAAGTAATTATACTTTGGAATTAACTTGAGCTTCTTATCTGTGGAAAGCCCTTGGTACATATTATTGTATATGTTATGTAATTGTGTACCACAGCGGTTTTCAAACTTTCTGTTTTCAGGCCTCTTTTACCCTCTTAAAATTATTGAGAACCCAAAGAGCCTTTGTTTGTATGACTTATAGCTATTGATATTTGTTGTACTGAAGATTATATTTATTTATATATGATAATATATATTTATTATATCCTTTACAATTAATAAATCCATTACCTGTTAACAAATAGTAATTTACGTAAATTTTCAAAGCAAAAATTTGGTGAGAAGATTGGCATTATTTTAATTTTTGTAACTGTCTTTGTTGTTTGGCTTAATAGAAGACAGCTGGATTTTTACATCTGCCTTTGCCTTCGGTCTCTTGAGACATCACACATTGGGAAGCCTCTGGAAAACTCCACTGTGTGTTTGTGAGAGAGTAAGGGTAGAGAATAAAAGTAACATCAGTATTATTTATGAAAATAGTTTGACCTCATGTACCTCTGGAGGGTTTTGGAAACCGTCAGGGGCTCAGGATCACACTCTGAGAACCCACTTGTATACAACAATAGTAACAGTTAAGGACACCTGCTCTTATCAAAATAGCTTTCAAATATTAAGGAATTCCTTAAGGTCTTAAAACTAGCAGCATTTATGTCTGTGTGGAGATTCCCAGAATTTATAATATATAAGCTGGGACGATGGAGTCCAGTAGTCAGTCCCTTGCTCTCAGAAAAGTTGCAGTCTACTCTAGTTGGGGAGAGACAGGAAACTAACTGGTTAGAAGTTAAATCTATGTTGTGGCTTAAGGTAAGTGTTGAAAATAGTAATCTCCTAACAAGGTAAAAGTTGATTTATGTCTAATTTTGTTAAATTCGTTCTCGTTTTTAAATGAAAATGTTTTAAATAAAAATGAGGTCATTCTTTCAAGGTTTTTGTTAAGTGCACATACCAGATGTTATTTTCAGAAGCTGGAGACTTGGGCATTTCATTTGTGTATGTGTGTGTGGGTAAAAGGGTTGAACCAGTGGCAAAATACTGGGGAGGAAATCCAGATTGGTTAAAAAGATGCCCTAAACACAACTGTTTTCATAACTAAGGTGAGTCAAAGACTTTAAGGGTTTGGGTTAAATAGCCAGTTAAATTGTAGATATTTTAATAGCATAGGCATGAAAATTTTTTCCCTGATTAATTCTTTAAAGAGTTGAGAAGTCCTTTTATAGTTTCTAGTACACACTTGCCCTCACATTACCTAAGAAAAGTAAATGTAGATTAAGTAAATATTTTGCAGTTTGGGATGGTTATTGGAGATTAATCTTTTTTTGAAGATACATTTAGTTGGATAGAGTTCTGATTATTGATTCCATCTCAGTGGTAATAAACTTGTCATTTGTGATAAAGCTTGAGCTAAAAATTAGATATCACTTTGATGGGGTGATGGGTTATTTTGTACCAGATTTCTCTCACAACCTACATCTAAAGAAGACTCTTGTATGCCCAGTGGCCAAAATTTCTAGGTGGGATCAGTCATTTGTTCATTGTAAGGTCAAATGCATTTACTGCTCTCTAGTAGTAACCCTGTATGAAATTAAGTGCCTAGCATGTAATAAGACCCTCAGTAAATATTGGCTTAATGAATGAAGGAACTTTCTTCCTTTTGATGGTGGCTGGATTGGCCTTAAACTTGTTTAAAATAAATGGAAAGCATAGCAAGTGAGCTTCTCCCCAGAATGCTTTCACCAGTCCCCACTCCTGGCTTTTAGTCTGTAAAGTAAACTTTGACTGAATTGTGAGGAACTGACCATCTGCAGTCTTGTTACCATGATGAATTTGTATTCTTTTGACATTTTGTGTGATGAATTTGTATTCTTTTGACATTCTGTGTTTATAGGTGGGCAGATACGACATTTTAGTAGTAAATGTGGATGGGACAGTTAAAAATCAGTGGGCCTGTGATACTTTTGAAGATTAATATTTAAATTTCATACACTTTTCTGAAGAATTTTAACATTTTCGATAAGTTTTGTAAGCTTAAGTCAAACGCAGTTGTCTTTCTAGTTTTTCTGGCAGTGTCCCACC